CAATTTGTCCTTAAAATGTTTCAATAGGCATTATACATTTCCTCTGTCAGTCTGAATCAGATTTTCCGTCATTTTCTTCCAGGAGTTCTGTAATTTAAAGATGTTGATGTTCCCTAACTCTGCTCATTTTCCTTTCAAAATGAAATGAATTTTACTTATCTGCCAGAATTTATTTTTTTTGGAAAACCAAGTTAATGGAAAAGCACAAATGGGAAGTACTTCCCAAGTCCCAAAATCTAACTCTGAGCCAGATTCAGTGCCAATGTTCATAACTTCCCAATGAAAAACTGCTTTCTGCAAATATTACCTAACGCTAGCTAAGATTTTATATTTTATCCAAATGGCCTTGACAGGGAAACTAATACGTATATGTAGGCAAGTGCAAAAGTGGAAATAGCATTACTATAATATTTCTTTCAAGCCAACAACCAGAAATATGTCATAAAACTCTGACGTTCTGGCCACTGACAGCTCTACTACCTCAATTCACAGAGAATACCGCCAAACAACAAAAGTTGCAGCAACTTGAACCTCAGAAAATGTAATTTCATTTATTTCAATGACATTTTTACTAGACTACAGCTTCATGTAGATTAGTCAGACACATCAAAAACCACATATTAGCTGAGGTGAAGCTGTGATGACTGCAGTTGTCTAACAGTTTCAATTCGAACTTTAGATGAATATAATTTGTTAGCTCTAAGTGACAGAGATATAATATAGATATGGTATGTCACCAAAGTAATAAATAATTAGTGAGCAGAACTGAGTAAAATAGCAGGTTGAGTACACCCCCAAAATCTGAATCTTGACGCAGAAGTCAGTGATCAGAATGATCCATCTTTCTGCCTCGAATGATAAAACAGCTTTCTCACAACCTAACACACAGCACCATCTGGCACGAACAGAGGAAACTAAGAACTTCAGGAAGGCAAGCACAAAAGCAATTTAATTTCTTCAGAATTGTCCAACTCTAACCATTCTATGATTCTATACTAACAAAACCCCTTCAGAAATAGCCATCTGACTGCAAATGTGGCTCAGTGAACCTGCCTCCTGTAGACATGCTTGTATAGCTAATAATCTCAGTAAAATGTTGTTGAATTGAACTGAAATATTTGGGGATGGGATGGGTGTTGTCAGAGTTAAGACAGAGCGTGTGGAAAGTCAATTGTCTACCAAACTGGCTGGGTTTCAGAACATTATCTCATGTCTCTTAATGGGAACTTTAGGAGCTCAGAATACGTCTCCTCGGCAAAGCTCAGCAGGCTCTTCTTGGTAGTTATTTATAAGAAGTGTGACTAGAAACGCCAAGTTAAGCTGAACTTTGGGTGGTTTCGGCACAGGCATTACTGGCTGTTTGCTGGGGCTCAACGTCCTCCACATGCGATGGGACAGGAGTGGTCTGGTCACACTGTCAGCCTCAAGAGAGGATGTGAAGCTTTGTCATCAGAGGCACTACTCAGAAGGACTGTGCTGAGTGGTTAGTCTGAGATGTTCGCAGTATAAACACAAATGGAGTCTGCAATCTGCATGACATTGGACTGTTTCACTGATACTAACACAGATCTATTCTATCATTGCTTTTTGAAAGTGACTTTTAACGCAGACTGTTTTCTAAATGATCCTTAAAAGATACTCCTTTCTTCCTCTTCACCTTCACCTAAGGCAATAACATTCAGTAGCATTGATCTATTTGCTGCTACTTTTCATTAATTTTACCCTCCCTAAGGGTGGTGCAGCTTTGGTGCCAGCTAATTAAAACCTATTTAGGGCTGTTCAGTGCACTTTATCAGACCAGAATTAGCTCTGCTGCTTTAATGAAGACTACAGTTTTCTCTGTTATTGCCAATTAAATGTTGTTTTATCATATTGCATTATGTTTCTAATGCATGGCAAAGATATAGATGGCTTTAGAACCACTTACCTGGATTGAGGTACATACAAAGATGCAACATTTAGTAATTACCTAATGTTTCTTTAAAGCCTTTCACTTGACTCAATACATATGATATACCAAAACATTAGTGAAGTACTGGAAGAAGCTGCCAGCTTTATGCTCCCTCTAGGGAAGTACCAAGTAAAATGCATTAATGAAAAATTGTGAATGTCTGGTAATGAATATTATTTATGTACAACAATTATTCAAAGTGGATGAGCATTCACCGCCTTGAACTCAAATGCTTCATTAATGAAGACTCTCAGAAAGAACATATGTCCCCCAGATTCATAACGCTGCATGCAAGGTTAATTCTCCAGCATGGATAGCCCATATCAGAGGGTACTTTGTACTGTTTTAGAATTAAAAAATGCTTCATTGTGAAATAAACAAACTTGTTTGTTGGACATTGTTTAGAGGCAATACTTGTTTCTTCCATGAACCAATAATAAACCATTTGTCAATACCAAAGCCATGGGTTTTGAACCTGCACTCAGTGAAGTCAGGGATGAAGCTCTCACATTAGCGATGCAGGACCAGAGCTTTTCTGCAGTGGAGAAGTGACTGCAGCACATACCTGTTAGCTCCTTCTCATAACATCCTATAAAACTTGAGCACCACTAAGATGAAACTACTGAAAAGTCTTACTAATTACCTGAAAAGACAGTACATCAAAGAGTAGAAATAGAAAGCTCATTAAAGGCTTGACAGACTAGAAATCTGTTGCAAACTTACTGTGCATTAGTAGCAAACACTGTACATAAGGACGGTATTTTAGGATTAAACTAAAATAGATGTGGTTACAATCCGCTCAGTACATTTTACAATATGAGTTGAACTTGGTTTCTTTCCAGAATTTTTGCTGGGAACATGTTGAAACAGACCTCTGTTCAATTTAATATTGCAAGAAAGAGTTGATGTTTCTCTGAGGAACTGAAAGAATATTTGGCTGAGGAACCTGAGTCTGTCTCAGTATTGCAATAGTCTGGCACAACGTGCAAAAACTATTTTCATCACCCACAGATCTCTTGTGCTCTCCCTTTACCTGTTCCACAAATGCCACATACCTCTAACAGCCTCATGACCCTCCCTAGAAACAGCACAGGGGTCCTGCGAATTGAAGCTGTTACAGAAAATGAAACAGTTTCAAACGGAGGTCCCCTGATAAGTAGAAAACTGCAGGATGTTTTCTTCAGATATAGAAGGTGTTGGCTGGTGACGCGTTGATCGTTTCCCTTGTTTCTGGCTGACAAGTGCACTAAAGGATTTTAGAAACACCACTTAGTATTTGATGTGGAAAAGTAGGGCTAAAAATGAAAGTTGCAGTAGATACAAGGATGTTATCCGATTGCCACTGTGAGACTGGTGGGTTTTTTTCCCACAGCGTTAAGGGGAGGCACGTGCAAATGACACGTGATGTGGGTCATGAGGCAGGCTCTTTACAATTTGCCCCTGTTTGCAATGTGAAAATTTTAGTTGTTGTCATAGATTAAAGAGGAAGAAATTGGGCCGCTTTGACATTAGGCTGCTTGAGAGCTTCCTTCATAGGCACCGGGAGAACAGAAGTTCAATCTGCCTTTGACATGGAAAGAAGCAGTTGTATCGGCTAATCGCATAATAATAAAACCTTGAGATGTGTTAATTTGTTGAAGAGGAATGGATTAGGCTGGAGATGAGGATACTTTGACACTGGATGATGAGATTTTTTTTGACAGGATATACTAAGGTCTGTTCTCACAATAAGGATTTTGAGAAAGTATTGTAAAGTCACTGTGACCCGACAGACTGCTAACATGGAAGAGTCATAAATATAAACAAATTTATGTTTAGCAATGCAATAATGTATCCATTATTATGTTTAGCTCAATTATTATGTAAACTGGATTACTTGGATAGTTAAAGAGTTTTTTTGAAGAACAGATCTTGTGTATTTTCTCTACTAGCCTCTGTTCTTCAGCTTGTTCAATTAAACTAAAGAAGCCATGATAACTTTGACACCTCTATGAAATATATGAGCTCCTTCCGACTCAGCAGCAGCAACATGTGCACATGGTGAACAAGCTGAGGGGTAAGCTCTTCCTTATGTTTCAATAGTTTTTAAAAAACAAAATATCAACTCTAAATTTTGACAGTTTAGTTACAAAGTGAATCAAAGAAGTTTGAGAGAACAAGCTCTTCTGCTTTAAAAGCTAAGTCAAAAGTTCACACTAAGTTCAACTGTTTTAATTTGGTCAGAATAGCTGCAGTCCTTCACAACTGCAAATTCATGATGTGCAAACTGAAAAATTAACACTAAGGCACAGCAGCGATCTGGAAACTCCTTCCTAGTTAGCTCCAGTGAGTATGCATGACAGGTGCTCTTCCATGCCAAAACACAGACGATCAGAATTTTTGCAGCTCGGTTACAAAATCCTGTAATTTGTGGTCTTAATTCCACAAATCTAATTTCTGCTCTGAACATGCTAGCCAAAACAGCGGCCTTCACATTTTCATCTCCTTATAGTCCCCACTTGAGCAGCGTAAACACACATTCTCAGGCATGGAAAATGGAATTTCAGCATAATTCTGGTAAAAACCGAAATCTACTACAGTATCACTGATAATCCATTTTCACCAAGAAATAGAAATAATGGATAACCCTGAGGTTTATGTTTGAAGAAAAGCTACAGTGAATCTCAACAGAGAAGAAAATACAACATCCAGAGTTATTCTGAGGTTGTGCATTTGGAAATGTTTGTGTAGGATTATCCTCTTCAAATAAAATGTCAATTTAATCAATAGTAAATTGAGCTGAAAACAACACACAGCTTTGAAAACGTTTCAGGAAGACATCCAATATTTTTGGGACTCAAGCCAACAGAAATGGAAAGAACAGAAGGTAGCGTAGGTGGGGTAAAGGGGGCCTAGCTGCTGCCTCATCAAGTGCTTATAACAGTCAAAACCATATAACAATCCATTAAAAACATATCTGGGGACACATTTAGTAGCTGGCATCCGGCATGGACTTCTCTCACGTATCTTTTGTCAAACATTATATTTGTTCTTCACATTTAGGACTTACCGGTCTTTTCCTGTCTCCTTCTTAAACACTGCATCACAGTAACTCATGCGTTTTTCCGTTGTCACATAGATTTTGGCAGTTGGGTAGCTGTCAACAGTTTTCTTCAGCATGTTGTACACAATCCCACTTCCATCCTTCCTCATGTTTCGAAAAGGCCCCCAGATCACATAAACAGTGGTGTTGGTTTCTTTGAAAAAGTACTCGGGATTCTTGAGTAGGAGAGGCACGCTTGTGTGAGAGACCACTCTTACGGTTGTCCTCTTCCCAACATCCTCCTCATAGCCCTTTGTGGGAGCATTGTTCATCCTCCATATGCAGGAAGACTTGTCTATCTCGGCTCCCACCTTCTGGCCAGCCATCTGTCCCGAGTTGGAAACAATGGCACAGAGATCACAGTCAAGTTGTAGAGGCTGGAAGAAAGAAAACAAAAATATTGGCCATTATTTCTCTTTAAAACATGAAGACTGAAAATTCAGTTAAAAGAAAGACAAGAACAGTCCAACAAATTGATAGCAATGCTCGTCTTTGGAAAAAACTAACAATCCCCATGTGGTAAAGCTGGTAAGAAAACCCTGAAAGCTCTGAATACAGTCCTTTTTAGTGAAAAAGGTGGCAGTTCCAATCTTTTCCTTTGTTCTCCACCTCGCAAAGTCAACTAGAAAAATAATCATTCCTTTTTTAACTCTAAACATTACTTTTTCCACTAGAAAACAACGAAAGAAAGCAGCAGAAAACAATATTTAGATCAATGCCTTTTCCTCTTTCAACAAGGTGTTGCCAGCAATAGGAAAAAAATACAGAAAAAGTAATGCTGGAAATTTAACTATACACTGTGTTTATGTGCCTGAATTAATAGTTCCCGAATTTGTGATTGAAGTCAAACATGAGATGTAACTCTAAAAAGCAATCTAGTGGCATGAAAATCCTGCAGTTGGAAAGCAGATGTAGACAGAGGAATATGTTCTTCTCTCCAGAGAACCGTTATGACCTATGAAAAATGAGAGGCAGATGGACTGGTGGCATGTGAACTAGGAACTTAATCCTGGACAAACTGAAGTAAAAGACAGTATTTCCTGAGCATGTTCTAGGGTATTATTTCTCCAGTATGAATTGAAAATCAGAACAGTTATCTGTCTGGCAGAGTTATAGGGATCTATCTGATGTTCTGTTTGTCCGAGTATAAATAGTAACTGTCTTTTGGTCCTTTTGAACCAACAGACTAAAAGGAAATGCCCTGTATTTAAGTTGAATTGTATGAAAAGTTTGGTTTGAAATCTAAATCAAATGAAAGCTAGATCCATCAAAAAACCTAGAGAAGGCAGTCCAGGCCACAGATCATCTACAGTTTTTTGTACGGTCACAGACTTCATCTCTTCTATCATGCTCCCAACTGGGAGCCAGTGACTTTGGTTTACTGTTTCTTAGGAATATTTCCCTTCATGTTCTTTGGATATTTAGGCTGACAGGATGCTAAGTGCTTTTCCGATCAGACTTGTGGTTGTTTCCCTTCAAAATCACACCTCATTTAGTTGATGTGGATGAATATCCTGGCTACATTTGACCACTATAACCTTAGGACATGGTGGCTGACGAACTATCAAATTTCTTTGATAATGGTGCATAATATAAGGACAAGAGATAAGCATCTGAAGACAGCCAAATTCTAACAGCTAAAATATCTTATCTTTGGGTGACAAATATTGTACAGAACTAAGGTACATCCTGCAAGACTTCTGCAATAAATCTCACAATTGCAAAGGTTTGATGTCTCTATTGTGATTGGTTTGATTTCTCTATGCGAGTGGTTCATGAAAACATTCTTTCCTCATTTCATCAGGAAATAAAGATGCCTGACTGCATGCAAAAGTATTGGCAATGCTTCCTTTACAGAACACCATGCATTTTTTTATAGCTGTTGTAGTTTTAGAGAGCTGTCCTGCACAGCGCTCTGACAACAGGAGTGAAATCCCAGGAGATGCAGCTGAATGCAACAGTCTTTCTGTTTACCACTCAGTTACAGAAATCCTCTCTAAGATACATTATGATGACATGGCTGGGTGACCTAAACAAATACATAAGCAAAACTAACATCCTAACACGAAGTGAATTGTTAAAGTCCCAGTAGATTAATTTAGAGCTTTCAGGGAGAACTTTCAAACTAACAAATGCTGAATATGAAACTGTTAGATAGGAAAAGCCAATTTGGTCAAGAATCTGGTCCTGTTTAAATTTGTCTCAACCTCAGTGTTGTATTTTGGTTTGTTGCTCCCCCCCCCCCCCAATATTCTTCCTTCTCCATTAAAATGAAGCTGCTCTCTTAAATTCAGAATTGTTTGATTTTCTGACCTTAGTTAGAAATGCATGGCACATTTTCTATTCACTGACTGTAACTGTTCTGCTTGAATAAACTGAGTATACTCACTCCTAAAATTGTGTCCCCCGGTTTTCTAGCTCCTTTGTTGTGATTCATTTATCTTGTTCCAATTTATAAAGCGCTTTCATAATATTGAATGCCTGCACTAGGTCAACATATAATCTGCTCTCCTTCAATAGAGGCAGAGGCTTAACCCCTCCCAGTCCTACCTCAGAATAAATAATTTTTACAATGCAGAGAAATTTTACATGCCCTAACATGTGTATTTCCCAACAGAGATCCCAGAGAGAGTTAGGAGGCTGACCCATGACAGACATTCCACTGATTCCAGAATCATCCACTGACTTCAGTGTCTTTTTGCAGGGTATCTTCCTCAACACATGAGAAAACACACACCAATATTCATTCGTTGAATCCCCATATGGAGACAGGTTGGCAGCTTGTGGTGTTGGTTTAGAAGTGTCACAGACAAAAGGGGCAGTTTCAGTAATTTGCATACAACAGCTTTCCCATTGTCCTCATTTAACACGACATTTCTGTTTGTTATTACACCCTAGCTCAAGTATGGCTGTCCCATTACTTTAAGACTCAAAAGCTGCCCAAATGTAACTCCTCTGCCAGGTAGCTCCCTCAGGAGCTATTCAGGCACAGGAATCTGGGTGCCCCAGAGGCCAGAATTAGGAAGCACCTGGGCAGTTGTGGCTGTTACTTCTGCTACTGAACTAGGACTCAGCTGACAGCTCCCTATGACCCTTGAGCTGGAGTGATGTGCTGTTGTCCCCTTTGCCCTGTACCCTGGGATCCTACATCACTCACACCACCCTTTTCCCATATGCAGATTTTTGGCTGCAAGGTTGCCCAGCATAGCCCTAACCTGTATGAGAAGCTACCACTTTTTCATTTAACTTGCTGTATTGTTTGTACTAAGGATGAACAGAAGCAGAGAGATAATTCTTACACAAACTGGAATACTGAGAGATGGACACTGTAGAATTAGAGAAAACATGCCTTCTTTGTGATCTGTTTTGCAGTTAACAGTAACTGTTTACAGGTGTCCACATCACAAACACCAGGATTGTGAAGAAACACTAATCAGCAGCCTTATTAGAGAAACCAAAAATGGTTCTGGCAGGCAGTCCAGGCTGCCCTCTCATCTGTAGAGACGATCCAGCAGCAAAGGGATTGATATAGACTGGTAGGACCATACAGAAACCTATGCTGTCACTGTTTATGCTCTCTGGACTGAGAACATCAGTTAAGGGTTTACCTGTACCTTTCACAAGACCTTCATTCACTTGCATTGTAGATATATGAGCTAAAGAAAAATAAATAGAGAACCATTCACCTTTTCTTCTCTTTTCATGTGTTCAGACACATATTTCACCTCTACACACCAAGGAGGCTGAGCTATTGCTTCTAGACAATTATTCATTTTGTTGCTGACCAGAAGGATGTAGAAGTCCTCAGCAAAGCATCTGGGCATGATTCTGACAAATTGTGCCATCTTTTTCCTGAATGATACATAGTAACTGTTGAGGAGCACTTATATTTTAATCAGTAAAGAAAATGAAATGTCTGACCTTTCCATTTCCTGTGCAAGCTTACAGACAATAGAAAAGATAATTAAAACTGTGAATTAGGACTTGCAAAACAGTGCTGTTTCTCCAGCAAAGAGAAATAGCTGTGTAATAAAGGTCACTTATCAAACAGTTCTAGTTATTAAATCTTTGCATTTAGCACTGAAGTGGCTTCACAGAATCAAAGGTCAAATCATTAAATAACAAAAACAGCCAGAATTAGAAAAGGTCACAAGCAAATCTAACTAGAAGTAGGTCACAAAACATGATTCTCTTCCACAGAGTATTCTGATATTTGGAAAATTGGCTGCTTTCCAATTTGAAACAACTCCCCCATCATTTCAAATGTCTCCACCAAGAGAAATTCCAGCTACAGGACCATTTCTACGGGTTGGTTTCCCAATGGCACAGATCCTGCATCTCCGAGATTCCCAGACACAGACCTGTAGATCTGCTGAAGTCCCAAGCAGGGATGATCTCAGGCCCGATCTCAACTTCTTGGCCAAAACTTCAGCACAAGTCAGCAGAGTCCAACAAAACAATGCCTTGACAGACCAGCCATGTGCCAAGCTGCCGTCTTAGCAGACTTCCAGATTCACTCCTCGGTTGGACCAAATTTAGCTCAGGACCTATGCAGATGTAATTTACGCTAATGAAAAGCTGAATTTCTCTTGTGACTTCTTAACGCTATAGGCTGGTGGTGCACTGGAGAGCTCACTCCAACCACCAACTCTGCTTCACTCTGTAAATCCCACAACTAATCGCACAGATAGTTAGGAAACTCGGATTAAACTTTCCCAATCGTTACTTTAACAATATGACTGTAATTTTGTAAATTGGACGCAATGCCCATTCACTGAATAATGAGGCAATTATTAGCAGCTCACCACATATTAATTTGCTCCTTTAATGTTGAAACAAATGAGATCTTTTCTTATAATCATCCTATTTGAGTGAATTCTAACAAAGCCGATTGAACAAAGCTCCAGAGAGACTTTCTTTATTTCAATGCCATTTATTCTTTTACTCTTCTAGGATGTCTTTAGAGTTTTAGAGGATACAACATTTATAATGATGCCAATAGGGAATAGATTTTGCCTTTATTCTTCTTGATGTTCTTTCAAGGTCTTTGAAATGAAAGGTAAAAGAGAGGCATTAACCGTCTGGCTTTGTTTTTATTGCTTTTCTCTACTTTACAAGCAAAAAATTTATTTTAATTTTTCCTATGTTTCAGCGATGATTAACTAAGGTGGTTTTACCTAGGCTTACTCACTTTCTGCAGACCTTTGACTGGGAGGAAAGACTTGCCAGGCTTCTCCCCCTCTCCCCCTCTCCCCCTCTACTCTGCCCTCCCCCTCTACTCTGCCCTCGTGAGACCTCACTTGGAGTACTGCGTCCAGTTCTGGAGTCCCCAACATAAGAAGGACATGGACCAGTTGGAGAGGGTCCAGAGGAGGGC